CCATTTACAACATGTGAATAACTAAACACGTATGGTCCCGTGTTTAGAAAATCTCCCATTTACAACATGTGAATCACTAAACACGTATGGTCCCGTGTTTAGAAAATCTTCCATTTACAACATGTGACCCATTAAACACGTATGGTCCCGTGTTTAGAAAGTCTTCCATTTACAACATGTGACCCACTAAACACGTATGGTCCCGTGTTTAGAAAATCTACCATTTAGAACATGTGACCCACTAAACACGTATGGTCCCGTGTTTAGTGAAACATTCCATGTACAAGATGATCTAACTATTGAAATACATATGGTCCTGTGTTTAGCCAATATCTATTACATGATGTAACATACTAAACATGTATATGGTCCTGTGTTTAGTCAAACATTTCATGTACAAAACATCTACTTTCTAAACACGTATGGTCCCGTGTTTAGAGAAATATTTTTATATACAACATGATGCAACAACTTAACACATATGGTCCTGTGTTAACTGAGATATTCCATATACCAAGTGATGCAACTTTCTTAACATGTATGGCCCCATGTATAGTGAAACAACATTGCATACAACAATCGAATGCATAAGCTTAAAAGCATCATCAATAGAAATTGCAGGGTTAATAAGCATGTATTTTTTCCTGTATGACAGTAAATCCTCATTAGGATACCATTATGCTACAGTAATTTGCATTTGTCAAACGTATGGTCCCGCTCGACGGCTACTGAGCTCTGCAGAGATTGATTATAGAGATGATCCATGAACTGTGTTCACCCTTTGTTTCATATTTTGTAGAACAACTATTATAGAAGATATGATTTCACAAAATGTGTTTCTTTTAAAGGACCTGTGATTTTACCATTTTCTTTCTTTTTCCATCTAAAAATATATATATTAATGATCCTATGATCACCCTAAGTCTTCTTTGATTTCTAGAAAGTTTTATTTTAGGTAGTTTAGTACTATCTGACATAAAACTTGTAAATAGCCCTCTGATATTACTTTCAGTTTACTAGATCTTGATCAAAGCTTTGAAATATTCAAATGAATCTCTTTATCCTGAATGAGGTTAGTTTTTAGATTAAAATTTTGGGCCCTGCTGCATATCTCTAACCCCTGTTTCAGAAGAATTGACTAAAGTTTGCTTCATGTACTGATAAAAGACATGAAGTGTATAAAAATCATTATTTCAAAATTAGGATATATATATATATATATATATTTTTTTACAGAAACTATTGAATTAAGTGAAAAACCATTTTATCCTGATATTATCTTACTATGGACTTGTTGACAGAGCAGTCCCCAGAAACATGAACCAATACATCACCCAAACTAAAAGTGGCTGTTGCCACAATACTTTGCTATGTTGAGGCAATGTCCTTGGTAATGGGCACTTGTTTGTCCACTGTTGTGTTGTCTGTGCATGCATATCTGATTTCTGACTGTTGTTTCCACATGGCCCATATAGTTTCTGCAAGTGTTACCCAGTGTGGATAGTGTCTGTTTCTAATTTGGTGGGATAGGTAACTCTGGAAAAATAAAAGTGTAAACTACTATCCAGTATATGATATTCATTTTTCTTTTTTTTTTAATCAAGTGCTCTGATCTAAATCAATATTTTAAGCCATGTCCTATACAACTGAACAATCAGAACATGCAAGATAAATTCTTAGAGAATGACATAATTATTTTACTTTGGGTATTGCACAGCTGCAATAAATCAACAGGGAATAACAGGTTATGTAAATTCCAACATGAGAATATGTCTACATATATGCAGCATAAATTATTCTCATTATAACATTATATTACCAAAAAAGCACATCAAAATTTGCATGTCATAATATACTACCATGCAGGTCTTGCACAAATCAACAAACACAAGTGCATTATTGTGCATATGGTCCTGCACAATCCAATAAAATACATGTGTATATGGTCCTACACAAATCAACAAACACAAGTGCATTACTCTGCATATGGTCCTGCACAATCCAATAAAATACATGTGCATATGGTCCTACACAAGTCAACAAACACAAGTGCATCTGATCCTGCACATTTTTCCCTGCAAAGTTCAACAAAATTCATGTGTATATGGTCCTACACAAGTCATCAAAAATGTGTGCATAGGGACCTGCATGAGTCAACAACTTGCATGTGCATATATTGTCCTGCACAAGTGACTAAGTCAACAAAATACATATGCATATGGTCCTGCACAAGTGACTAAGTCAACAAAATACATGTGCATATGGTTGCGTACAAGTCAACAAAACAAAATGTATGTCAATTTGGCATAATTATGTATGGTTCTGCATGAGTCGACAAAATACATGTGAATATAATTCTGCCCAGATCAACAAAATGCATGTGCATATAATCTTTCATGAGTCAAAAGGTAATACATGTGCACATGGTCTTGTCCATGTCAACAAAATACATATGCATATTGTTCTGCACATGTCCACAAAATATGCGTACATGTTCCTACAAGAGTCAACCAAATGTGTCAGTGAAATGAATGTGAATATGGTCCTTCACAATCATAAAATACAACATAACGTGTAAATCAGTGGTGGGTTTGCATGGTAAACATAAGTAGTGTATGTGGACCTCACTCTACACTAATTCTCAGTAAAAGGTCACCTGAAACTATGGTGTGCACCCTTAGCAACAATACTATATCAGCATTAAATCATGTAAATCATTCTACCTATATACAAGCTGTGCCTATGACCTGCACAGTTTATGTGATAAATGTGTATGTGGTCCCACGTACACTATATCTTGATTCAACAATTGAAAATTTGAATCATACACGATTTGTGTACCCATATAATGACAATATTTTACCAACATCATATAGGCAACTAACTCCAAACAATATTTTTGGCTCCATGAACAACTTGAGTAAACTTGAGTAAGATCATTCATTGTTCAAACTCTTAAAAGGAAAAGCAGAATTTGTTACCAAGTATAATACCTGTATATGTAAAAATATTGCAAAATTATATAAGGAAACCAAAAAACTTTAGCCTTTAATTATGAGCTAATTAACTTAATTTTAATGGATAACACATGACTTCATCAGAAGTACTATACTATACTGGCCTGTTTTATACTGGGAATGCAGGAGTGTAAAGTGAATACTACATCAGCATCAATGGAGATCTCATAACTTGTAAAAAGGTAACACTCGTCACTGCTGAGCTGTTTATATTCACTCATCAATATCTGGTTTGTGTAGATGATTCTGACATTCAAGTCCTTGAAGAAGTGAAAGGTTTCCACTGTAACAAACAGGTTCTTATTCCCCGGCCAAGGTGAATGTAAGAAGCAAACTGACTTGTGATATTTTGGATGGACAGTTAATAAAAATGATGTTATTACATAGATGCACATTTTCTAAGCTCAGCAAATTGCAAATCACCGTAAATAGGCAAAAGTTCCTAAAGGAATGAAGTTACCGGTGTGATTGATAAAATCTCCAGGCCTGATCACGGTGTTAGGATTAAAGATGTAGGTGAATCACTGACGGCCAGTTGCAAAAACCTCCCGGGAAAAAGTCTATACACTGTCAGGTCTATAATGTAATTGTATATTATTGTTTACAGCAGAGACCTACAGCGAAGGGTCTATGTTTACAGCTGACATAGTTCATGTAAGAGTTTTCGGGATCTCGAGCCCGACATTATTTACTACATATTTTACACCACTGTAGATACACTGACACTGTTTATCGATCGTTTACCAAATTTACTTCAGTTGACCATATTATTCCCCAGACGACTCGTAGTAATAGAATATCCATGTAAGAATCGCATGTAAAGTATTTTGGTCGTCCTGAATTGCGACTTCCTCAGCATGCTTAATGCCCGCATGTAAATTTTACAAGGCCGATTTCGCAACAAAAACTCACTTTACAGACGTTTTTCTGCAAATAACAAGCAGATCACATCGTCCGAAATCTTCAAAATGGCATCACAACAAAAGTTGTAGGATTTTCTTTGGGAAATATGGTATAAATTCGAAAAATTCAGCAGTTCAATAAACCATGCATGCTTTCTCGTTTGGTAAACGGATCAATAATGATCACGTGGAAAAGGGTAGAATTAGTTCAAAAAAGGAACCGAATAGCTACTTAGTATAAAACTAAGTCCAATACAGACACTGTTTTATAATAACATAATACAACAAGAACATGTCACATAAATGAAATTATTTGCAATAATTACTATTGTATAAAAATGAAATAGTATTGCATAAAACTCCACATAAATACTTAGCTTAACGGTTACTAATACAATAATTATGGATCATTGAAGTTGCCTAGAAAGGAAAATGGAACGATGGTACCCTCAATAGCCCTCAAAGTCCTGCAAATTTTTCCTTCTGAAATTTATTTTTTTCTCTTTTTTATTGAATTTTTTTTAAAAAATGAAAATAAAAGAAGATACTTTGTATCATGAATAAGGTATTCTAAGTAATTTTATTCTATCCTCTATTATATCTAGTGTTGAAAAATAATGTTGTACCCCTGAAACCATTACTATTACTTCTATAATTTTTTTTTCTTAGTTTTATTTAAAAAAAGCTTGATAGAAAATTGATTCTCTATATCCAGTGATTGTTCATTAAAATTTGGCTATTTGTTTTAAATGATAAAGTTTTTTAGGGAAAGGGCCTACGGTAGGTGTCCAGCAACACACAGAATGACAGCAGATACTTCCTCCAGATATACTTATTTCAGACATTAGCACAGGTAAGCTAAAACTTTGAAAGAGGTAAAATTCATTTTACAGTTCGCAAATATATGTAAAAAAAGCTAAAATATTTAATGACGTTGCTACATCCTATTTATTTAAATTTTCCCCGCCTTCAATTTATCATAAGATTTATGACATCCTAGTAGGTGATCAAGAGAGATCCGTGGACCCTCTATATAGAAAGTATGTTTGATGCGGACTATTCCAGAAGAGCTCAGCTTTATTACAGTAACGATGCTTGGACGTGCCGTTTTAGCCTTAGTACTGTCCGTATGTACAACTTACGGACAAATCTGGTAAGAGCACTGAAATATATCATACGAAGTCTATTGTATAAATGCTATCGTTCTTTGTGCTTTGATGTTTATAAGAAAAGCAGAACTGAATAATCATGTTTTCTTTAATTAAATCATCTCTAAAGGTTTTAGAATTATTTTGTATTGAAGAACACTGAAAAATCACATAAAACTATATTGTATGAATACGTTCGAACACTTTGCTTTGATATTCATTATAACAGCAAAACTACATAGTTATGCTTTTTAATCCACTTTTAAGAATATTGTATATTTTACACCTTCATATTCTTTCCCTTATTTGCAGTACCGACACAAACATCAACACTGTCGCTAGGGTTGTTTTCGGAGAAGCCCGAGGAGAACCGATGAGAGGACAACTAGCTGTTGCTTACTCCATTGTCAACCGGAAAAATCACCAGGGTTATCCTAACACCATCAACGATGTTGTTTACCAGAAGAGATCAAACGGAAGAGAACACCAGTATGACACGTTAGATTTGCCAGGACACACCCGAGCTTGGAACGATGCCAAAAATAGGAATACGCAGGAGTACCAAAACGCAATAAAAGCGTCTGGTGACGCATTATGTAATCGGGAGAGAGATCCAACTGGATGTGCCACAGATTACTGCGCGTTTGATCCTTGTCATTCAACAACATCTAATTCATGGTGGACTGCCACCAATAAGATACAGATAGGCAACCATTATTTTGTGTGTCGCGTTCCTGCCAGTGGATAATGTTAAACAGAACGTTATATCTGTCTTTAACTCAAATAAATTTTTATTAATTTCAATATTATTATTTGTGTATTGATGCCACTTTTATTTGGAGTATTATGTCAATCAGAAAAAAAAACCAAAAATGTATAAGACATGTATATATTAGTTTAAATAGTATCTTTTTGAATTGAAATGTTCGAAATTATTTCATTTATTGTCATATTCATGAAAAAAGTCCAGATTAGTACAGTCATGTTAGTTAACAGAAAAGATATTAGAACAGAAAATATTGCGTTCGACTATTAATACAGCATCGGCAATTTTAACCCACTTTTTGCGTCAAGACATTTGAGAATTTGATTTCAAAAAGGATTAAAATTATCGTGTAATAGTAAGAAAATAGGTGTCCTATATTAAACTGAATTCGAAGCAGCCTTTACTTATGTTACGTCATAAATCAGATAAAACCAGAAGAGTTCCGGGATAAATATGTAGTGAAATTGAATGCTGGCGGCAATAGTTTGCTGACTATTAATAGCAGAAATACAATTTTAAGGCCAGTGTTTTCATTATAATCTTGTTTACTGCGTTTTCAGGTGATAACAAAAAAAAAATTCTGTTGCTGTTTACAGAAATTTAAACGAATTCTCATAATAGGATACCTTTACACCTGCGATGCAAATTGGACATAACAGACATACAACTGTATGGGAAGACACCAATTAAAAAATGTAAAGTAGCTTAGCAACAAGAAAGATGAAGTTAACAATGGAATATAATCCAGGAAACAGTGCCTTTACACGAACCCCCCAAAAATCGTCGGATCAGATGACAAGGAGGATTAAACATCCCCGATAGATTGGTCACGCCACCAGGATTTATCTATTTTGATCCGGTTAAAATTAAGTAAAAAAAAATAAGAGGATTTATAATACAAGGGTTGTCGTTGTCCCCGAAAAACGCGAAAATCTTCAATAATTTATAATTTTTGTTTCACTGATATAATAAAGTTTGAACTTGGCATGCATTAAAATCAACATTTTAATACATGTAGTAATTCACAGAAATTTCAGTAAAATGTTCCTAAGAATAACATTTTATCTTTGATATACTTTTTCATTCAGAATAGCTGTCTGCACAACGCCGACGACGTAAAAAGGTAGCTCGTGGAATTGTTGAAATGGTTCTGTAATCGTGCGTCTTTTAAAAAAAATTTCAAAGCATAGATTCAATACATCATTTTATTTTATTTTAGTTACCGAGTAATCCATTTCAGACATACTATATTTAAAATAAATCATGGAATAAATTCTTTTTACGGATAATTTTCCCGATTACAAGTCTTACTGCTTCAATACTTAACGATGGTCTCCATGTATCACGTCCAGCTCTAGACCTTTTAGTTTGTCGCCAATTTAGTTCATCAACCAAATGCTTCTTCCATCGAATAACCAGTCCATTCACCTTTGAACCTCTTTCACTATGTATATACTTTGTATAATAATAATATATGAATTTATAAAGCGCTAAATATTAATTAACTAACTCTAAAGCCCTGTACAATAAAACTCAAGTAAACATAATTTATGATATCATTATATATGATGATATACTTGTGTCGTTTTTATCATTCATCTCTTTTTCTTTATGAACAGGAATCAAACCCCGATCCACACAGCACTAAGAGATAATTTTATGCTCCGCATTATCGCTCGACGTCATCATGTTCAGCAATATCTAATTAATAGTGTTTGTGCTTATAATGTCATATTTATGTTCCCCAAACGAAGTTGGGGAACATATTGTTTTTACTCTGTTTCTTCTTATTATGTTCCCCAAACGAAGTTGGGGAACATATTGTTTTTACTCTGTTTCTTATTATTATTCTTCTTCTTCTTCCTGGGTACTTTTTTGTCCGGGAGTGATCTTGTAAACTGTTCATCCGATGTAGGTAAAACCTTTTTAGGGTCAGTAGACATGTTATGTAGATTTGTGGAATCAAGGTCATTTTGCGCGCACGTGCTTGCAAGAGCGTGCGCGTGCAACACGTGAATTGACCAATATAATAGATATAACCGTAACTTTTTTATTTTTTGATGAAATGCTTTGAAACTCATAATTTGATTATTTATTAGTAGTATAAACATGATGACATGGTCAAAATAGCAAGATCTCACGTGCATGCACGTGCGCTTTGCTCTGATTGGCTGAAACTAAAGTCTCTATATCTTTCTTGTTTTTCTACGAAATCCTATGAAATTTTGAACATAGCCATGCATTAATATATCCTACAACATGATATATAGCATATATCATAAAATCACGTGCATGCACGTGCGCTGCAATCTGATTGGCTTAAACTTTAAATAGCTATAACTCCCTTGGTTTTCAACCAAACAGGATGGGATTTGGAACATAGATAGATATAGTGAACTTCTACAACATGATATGGTCGCCATGCACATGCATACACGTGCGTATACTTGCGCTGTAATCTGATTGGCTGAAACTTCAAACAGCTATAACTGCTTTGGTTTTCAACCAAACGGAGTGAGATTTAGAACATAGAGAGATGTAATGGACGTCTACAAGAAGATATGGACACTGTGCTCATGTATGCACGTGTGTGCACGTGAAATGAATTAAATCAAAAATGCACTTGAATGAGCGTATTTTTTAATACTTTTGGATTAAATACTTAAATATTTAGTATATTAAAATGTATAGATTGTGTAGACAAGATGATATGGTCATTACGCACATGCATTCACATGTGCACGCGTGCAATGCTAAAATTTGAATGAACTTGGCGTTGTTAAAGTCTCAAATTTATGCATAGATTTTGTCCTATTTGGGAGTTGGGGAGCGTTTGGGGAACATCTGTAACGGTCCCCGTTACAATTAGCACTAGTTATTATGTTCCCCAAACGGAGTTTGGGAACATATTGTTTTTACTCGGTTTCTTATTATTATTATTTTTTTTTTCTTATTTGTTCTCCGGTACTTTTTTGTCCGGAAGTGTTCTCAGAAACTGTTCACCAAACTAAGTTAAAACCTTTTTAGGGTTAATGGGTGTGTAGTGTAGGTGTGCGGAACGTAGGTCATATTGCGCGCATACGCCTGCACGTGCGGGTGCGTGAAGTGAGTGAAATGACTGATATACTTATTATGGCCATAACTTTTACATTTTTTGATGAAATGCTTTGAAACTCATTACATAAAGATATATTAATAGTGTTGATATCATGACACTGTCAAATTAGCACGAACTCACGCTCTGATTGGCTGAAACAAAAATCTCAATATCTCTTTTGTTTTTTGAAGAAATGCTTTGAAATTTTAAACATAGTAATGAACTAGGATATTCTACAATATGATATCAAAAACATTTCAAGAAATCACGCGCATGCACGTGTGCTGCAATTTGATTGGCTGAAACTTTAAAAGGCTATATCTCCTTTGTTTTTTGATGAAATGCTTTGAAATTTTAAAAAATTGTCATACTTTGGAATACCCTGCAATATGATATACAGAAAAATTAAAGAAATCACGCGCATGCACGTGTGCTGCATTCTGATTGGTTGAAACTTTAAATGGCTACATCCCCTTTGTTTTTTGACGAAATGCTTTGAAATTTAAAACATAGTTTTACATTAGGATATCCTGCAATATGATATACAAAAAAATTCATGAAATCACGAGCATGCACATGTGCTGCAATCTGATTGGCTGAAACTTGAAATGGCTATAACTCTCTTGTTTTTCAACCAAACAGGATGGGATTCAGAACATAGATAAATATTAGGAACTCCTACAAGAAGGTATGGTCATCATGCACGTGCACGCACGTGCGTGCATTTGGAACGAATGAAATTAAAAATACACTTAAATGAGTGATTTTTAATACTTTTGGACTGAATGTTTTGATATATATAGTATATTTAAATATATAGATAGTGTAGACAAGATGATATGGTCATAACGCACATGCATTCACATGCGCACGGGTGCAATGCTAAAATTTGAATATAATTGGTATCCTTCTGGGTAAATTTTGTTAAAGTCTAAATTACTAGAATTTGTCTTATTTAATGAAGCTTACAGGGAATATGGCACCAAAAGGGAGTTGGGGAGCGTTTGGGGAACATCTGTAACGGTTCCCGTTACAATTAGCACTAGTTATTATGTTCCCCAAACGAAGTTGGGGAACATATTGTTTTTACTCTGTTTCTTATTATGTTCCCCAAACGAAGTTGGGGAACATATTGTTTTTACTCTGTTTCTTATTATTAAGGTCTTCTGTCTTCACGGAAGACCTTATAGTGATTCTATTGTTTCTTATTATTATTCTTTATTTTTTAGACAAAATTTTGTGCAGGCGATTTCTCGTAAACTATTCGGTAGATTTCAATGAAAATTTCAGGAATTATAGGTTATTATATGAATTTTATATAATATTCGGTTTGTTGGAAAATTCGCTACCAGTGCCAAGTTATGGGCAATTTCCTGATTTTAAAATGCAATTTTGTCTTCGAATGTTCTCGAAAACGGCTCAAGATATTAACTGGAGACTTGTTAGAGGTGATAAACCATGAGTTATAGATATGCAATTTTGCCTTCGTTTTCGTCAGTATCTCCGGTCGCTACAGGAAGCGAATTCAAAATGTGCACTTTTTCAACTTTTTTTCTTTTTCAATATTTTTCTCTGATATAATTAATGGTAACTAAGACTCTACTAGAAAGGCCTAATATATAATTTATTTTAGAACTGATCAATCCACACACTAGATATTCGCATTTAAATATCTGAAGCGTGTCCAAGATGGCGGCGGTCTCGGTAAACTCCGCCATTAAGCAAGTCGGGTTCTAGAAGGTCAGCTGAGCGTTTGGATGAACGTAACTTCTACCAAAAAGATTTATGAAATGTAAAGGATTCTTTGGATTGCCACATCGCAATTACGTTGCGTTGATTATAATTTTAATATGGGGTTTCCTCAAACGTCTCTTAAAATTGCTTTTGTCTGCATCTCAAAGTAAAGTAGAACACAACATGACAACAAGTGGAAATACAACGACTACAACCTTTTGTTTTGCACCAGGG